GAGGGTGAGGCAGGAGAATCGCTTGAACCCAGGAGGCAGAGGTTGCAGTGAGCCGAGATCGTGCCATTGCACTCCAGCCTGGGCAACAAGAGTGAAACACCGTCTCAAAAAAAAAAAAAAAAATTGAGATTCTTTTACACCCTTTTTTTTTTTTTTTTTTTTTTGCATTTCAGCTTGACATCTAGTGTCTGTTTTGCACATACAACACATCTCAATCTGGACCAGCCACACCTCTGGGACTCAGGAGCCACACGCAGCCAGCGGCTGCTGGACCAAGCAGCACATCTCCAGGTGTTTCACTCCTAGCTGCCTCCTAAGCCCTAGCCTTTCCCCTACGGCGATAACTGTGAGGCCCTCTGGGAAAGCATCCGGTGGAAGGTATTTTTATCCACTAATTTAAATTATTTTCAGCACCCTTGCAGAAGTGACTAGAATAGTAGGAGATGGAGAAAATCTGAGAACCTCAGGCTGGGAGTCCGGGGCGTGGGGGGTACAGGTGCCCCCCTTTCTTGCTTCCTCTGTGGGCAGAGGACACCTTGGCACCACTAAAGTCACATGTTCACAGGCTCCTCTACAACCTACTAAACCCCAAGCTGGAGTGTGCAGTTTGTGCTACTAATAGGTCTGAGTTTCCTTTATCTCATCCTCCTCTAGAAGCAAGCAGGCTTCTAGATAGAAACTGCAGCGGGGTGGGCTGCTGAGGCCCCTGCCTCATGGAGAATGCTGAGGAAGGCACTGGGAGGCAAAAAGAGCAGAGAAGGAGACCCTACAGAGGATAAGAGACCATGAGCTTCAGGGCCAGCCGGCTCTGGTTCCCAGCTCCAACGCTGATGGGTTGTGTAAGCTCCCTGAGCCTGGCTCCCACATCTGCAAAAGGTGGGGAACAACAGTACAGACTATTTGGGGGAGTCTGAGATGAAAGGATAAAGGCTGGGTGCCTGGCATGAAGGAGCGTGACCCTGTGTGGCTTGCTTCCACCTGCAGGAGCCGTGTTACTCTCTGAAGGGTTTCCCCATCTCTGCCGAGCCACCCTCCTCACTTACTAACTCTTCTGCCTCCCAGGGCGGATACCCCCCTCATATCACCCCAGCAAACCCCAGGCATCTCAGATGGTTCCTGCATCTCTCTGCCTAAGGATGCTCTCCAGGCCTGCAAAGGGCTGGGCAGGAAGTGGGTGGGAGAACTGCCTAGGAGTGAGGAGGTCCAGGAAGGACACCCAAGCAGGAGGGATGGGGGTTGACTGAGCAACCTGGGGTGCATTCTATATGGTTCTTCAAAGGATCTCCAGTGGGATTGAGCCCCGGTTGCCCACAGTGATAACCCACTTATTATTGATGAGCTCTAATTGGCTGTCTCCCCTCTGGCCTCCCCTCCCTCCTCCACTGTGTTTCCGGACTTTGGGTTGTCCCAATATATTGTACCTGCTCACATCCAAATCATCGTGCCAAGGTCTGCTTCCTGGGCAACCCAAACTAAGACACTCCTCATCAGCACTGCCCTTCCTCCTTCTGTCATGCTGTAGAAACCTTGCTCATCCTTCAAGGCCCAGCTGAAAGCCTACCTTTTCTGAGAGGCCTCCCTGGCATGCAGTTAGAAACAAGGCACCTCCTAGGACTTCCTTTGGCATGTGCCACTTTTTCTTCTGTCTGGCAGATCTGCTGTTTCACTTGTCTCACAGTCAGATGCCTGAGTTATTTCTCCCTCTGTTGGCTGAGAGCTCCATGAACACAGAGGTGAATCCTAGGGTCTGTTACACATCAGGACCTCAGGAAGCCTCTGCTAACTGTTGCAATTTTGCTACCAATGATAGTTAATGTTTACTGAGCACTTACAATGTAAGAAGCACTTTTATATAATGCTGGCCCGAAAACCTCACAACCGTCACTTTAAGCGGCAAGTATTGAAATCATCACACCCATCCTAGAGATGGAAAAACTAAGGTGAAAGATGAATAATTTAGATGAATTCTCACAGTCAGCTACCTCAGATCAGGAGTTCTTAACTAGTATGTGAACACCTCAACTTGTAAAGTCTTCTCTGAGAAGCTGCCAGTCCCTAATCTTTCCCTTAGTCTCCAGCAATGGAGAATTAATTCAATCACAGGTGAAGCAATGCCATCAGCTCCGTGGTTACTCCAAGGTACTAACAGCCAGCCACACTCCCCAGGCCCCCTGCACTGTGTCCTAGAAGCCAGGGGTGGGGAGTGACCAGAGTCCATCCAGGCAGGCAATGCCATCAAGGACATCCTCAGAGATAATGGGCTGAGACAGCCTCCAGGGCCACCAATGGCCAGCGACTTCAGGAGTGGTCCCGATTTGCTGCCCCTGGGATAGGAGGAAAGCCCAGCTTTGCTGCTGCTGGATGGGTCCCTTGACAGCCTCGAGACCTCCCCTCAGATCTCTTATAAGACCCCCCCCAATGTCCTATGGATCTGCCACCACCCCCTAAGCATTCTCTTCATCCCCACCCCATGCCCAGCTTAGCCTCACAGCGGTCAAACTTATACTGATTCACTGGTGCTAGGAATTAAAAAAAAGAAGCCATATAACCAGGCCCTAAGAGAACACTATGGGATTACATTTACATCAAGCTCAAAAACAGGCCACAGTAACTTAAGCTGTTAGAATTTGCAACAGTGGTTTTCCTTGGAGAGAAAGAGGCAGACTGGGAGGGGTAGTGGCTTCTAGTGGCTGGAAATACTGTTTCTCAGCCTGACTGCTAGTCGCGTAGGCATGTTCACTTTGTAAAACTTCCTACTGGTTGAGGTCAGCACTTAGGATCTGTGCACTTTTCTGGATGTATGTCACACTGAAATGAAAAGTTTTCTTTAGAAAAAGTTTTTGGTCAGGTGCGGTGGCTCACACTTGTAATCCCAGCATTTTGGGAGGCCAAGGCAGGTGGATTGCTTGAGCCCAGGAGTTCGAGACCAGTCTAGGCAACATAACGATATCCCATCTCTATAAAAAATACAAAAAAAAAAAAAAAATAGCTGGGAGTGGTGGCATGCACCTATAGTCCCAGCTACTAGGGGGGCTGAGGTGGGAGGATCAGTTGAGTCCAGGAGTTAGTGGCTGCACTCCAGCCCGAGCAAGACCCTGTCTCAAAAAAAAAAAAAAAAGAAAAAAAAAAAGAAAAAAGAAAAGGAAAAATTTTTAAAAAGGAAAAAAGAAATATTTTAGGATGCCAGCCACTCTCTAAGATGGCAGATACTCTTTCCAGACCAGGCAGGCAGCTCAGCCAGTTCTCTAAGAGCAATTGAGCATGATATGAAGTAGAAAATAGGATGCAGAGGCCTAAGAAGGAACCTGTATGGGGGCTGAGTAGCTGGGAGCCCCATCCAGAGAGAGGAAAGAGCATGTTCCCAACCCTACCAAAATACCAGGACTGAAAGAGCTCAAGGACTGCAGATAGCAAACCATTTTATTTTTCCTTGAGACAGGGTCTTGCTCTCTTGCAGGCTGGAGTGCAGTGGCACAATCATAGCTCACCATAGCCTCAAACTCTTAGGTTCAAGCAATCCTCCGGGCTCAGTCTCCCAAGCAGCTAGAACTATAGGCATGCACCACCACGCCTGGCTAATTTTAAATTTTCTTGTGGAGACGGTGTCTTTTGATGTTGCCCAGGCTGGTCTCCAATTCCTGGCCTCAGGCAATCCTTCCACCTTGGCCTCCCTAAGTGCAAGGATTACAAGCATGAGCCACTGCACCCAGCCTGTAGATGCCGAATTCTGTAAGTTTGTTGGGAGGGTGGCTGGTAGCCCGGATAGGGTGGAATGGGTTAAGATGGGATGGGATAGGATGTGCTGAATGGGTTGGAGTGAGATGGGCTGATCTAAGGTGGGCTGTGGTAGGAGGAGACGGGACGGGAGGTGATGGGCTGAGAATCGGATGGGGATTTGAAGATGGGGCGCACATTGTAAAGGCCTTTACACGAAGCCCAACAAGATGAGAGATGAGGAGTCTGGATTTCGTTCTGCTCAGAGCTGGAGATTTCTTAGCAGGGAAGTAGAGTCCTTGGAATTCTCATGGAGAGATCACTCTGGCAGAGGTGTGGATGATGGGGCTCAGGCGGGAAAGCATGGAGGCCAGGTGTTTCTAAGACAGAAGCAGTGAGGCCGAGACCAGAGGCCAAGGACACCCCCAGGACTCTGTGAAGAACTGAAACTGGGGAGAACCTGGATTCGCTTTCTAAGTCAGGAAACTGAGGCAAGTCCAAGGAGAGCCAGACGCTCACCCACCAGGTCCCAGTGGGAAGCTCAGGTCAGCTCTAAAGGCAATGAGCTCCTTTTTGTCTCTCAGAAGGAACGTGATGCTATCCAGAGACAGGCTTATGTCCCAAGAGAGAAGCATCAAATACTCATGGTGGGACCACAAGAACCACCTTCCATCAGCCAGGACCAAGGGGCTGAGCTATGGCAGCCCCCATGTGTGTATCATGCATCATGATTTTCAGAATACTTCCAGCCAGGGATTTGTTTTGAGGCTTGCTAGAAATCACATCAGTATCTCCATTTTACAGGGTGAAAGACAGGCTACCAAAGGTGGCTCACCCAGCCCAAGGTGACACAGCCAGCATGTGGCAGCGTCAGGAGGTGAACACAGAAGGGCTGGCCCCAACGCCCCATCATCTTGTGATCTTTCTTTATTTCTTTTGAGACAGAGTGTTGTACTGTCACCCAGGCTGGAGTGCAGCGGTGCGATCTTGGCTCACTGCAACCTCCGGCTCCCAGGTTCAAGTGATTCTCCTGCCTCAGCCTCTTGAGTAGCTTGGATTACAGGCGCCCACCACCAAACCCAGCTAATTTGTTTGTTATTTTTATTAGAGTTTCACTATGTTGGCCAGGCTGGTCTCAAACTCCTGACCTTGTGATCCACATCTTGTGATCTTTCTAGAAACACAACATTGTTCCACGCTCTTGACCTGGTTCTCTGGTGGGAAAGAAGCAGGAGCTCTTGGCCAGAATAACAAAACAGAGAACAAAGCACGCGCCCCCTGCTCACCTGTGTGCGTGCGGACGTGCCTCTTCAGGTCGAAGGTGTCATTGAAGCCCTTGCCGCAGAAGGCGCACAGGTGTCTCTTCACCTGGTTGTGGCACTTGAGGTGACGGTTGAGCATGCGCTGCAGGCGGAAGCCCTTGCCACACAGGTCGCAGCTGTGAACCACCGAGTCGCTGCACGTGCCTGTAGTGAACTGGGGGCAGAGGGAGGCCATGAGGATCCCCTGACAGGCAGGCACAGCCAGCGGGCTCACTCAGGAGACCCACCTCCCTGTGTCTTGAGGCTTGCCCTGTCTGCGGCTTCTGCCTCCTAAAAATTTCAAACAGGCTTTGGCTTTGGGGAAGGTGAAATAACAACTGGCATTTCCTTTCACTTTTTTTTTTTTTTTTTTTTGAGATGGAGTCTCACTTTGTTGCCCAGGGCGGAGTGCAGTGGCTCAATCTCAGCTCACCGCAACTTCCATCTCCTGGGTTCAAGTGATTCTTCTGCCTCAGCCTCCCGAGTAGCTGAGACTACAGGTGAGCACTACCATGCCCAGCTAATTTTTGTATTTTTAGTAGAGACAGGGTTTCACCATGTTGGCTAGGCTGGTCTCTAACTCCTGACCTCAAGTGATCCATCTGCCTCAGCCTCCCAAAGTGCTGGGATTACAGGCATGAGCTGTAATCAGTTATAAAGGACCTGATTTGGCAACATTAACGTCACATGTTCAAAGGTTACCAAATCAGATAGTAAAATTGAAGACATCGTTTTCATCAGGCAGGGAGTCCAGACCCAGGTCTGGTTGTGGTTTTACTGATAACAAAGCTGCTTTACAAAATGATAATTTTATTCATTTATGATTTTGTGGGTCAAGACAAAAGCCAGCTCTCCCACTTTTCATTCTCCCCTTCTTCCTTAGAACAGACCTTCAACTTCTAGCTGGGCACACTGTCTTACTGCATCCTACAGGCATGTGACAGGGCACGGATGTCAGGCCCCTCCACATCTCGTGTTGAAATGTGATCCCCAGTGTTGGAGGTGGGGCCTGGTGGGAGGTTATGGGGGCAGACCCCTCATGAATGGCCTCTGCCAGTGGTAAAGAACAAGTTCTTACTCACATCAGTTCACGGAAGACCTGGCTGTTTAAAAGAGCCTGGTACTTCCTCCCCTCTCCCTTGCTTCCTCCTTCACCATATGACACACCTGTTCCCCCTCCACCTTCTGCTATGAGTGGAAGCTTCCTGAGGGCCTCACCAGAAGACACCAGCACTATGCTTCTTGTACAGCCTGCAGAACCATGAGCCATAAGCCTCTTCTCTATAAATTAGCCATTCCGAGGTATTCCTTATGGCAACGCAAAATGGACTAAGACAGCATGGCCATGGACTACCTGGACAATGAAACAGAAATCTCCTTGAAGGGGGGCAAACGGCACCCTCCTCCTCCTTCGCTGCTTCCTGCTGGCTAGAGCACCAACAGCCACTTTGGACCATGAGATGGAAGTGCGTGTTGAGGATGGAGCAGAGAGGAGTCTGGGTCCTGATGACATCATGGAGCCTGGTATGTGACATTATAGACAGTCCCCAAAGAGAGCCATAGTCAATTCTGTCCTCCTTGTGCCTGCATCCTGCTCCATCCATCAAGAGATACAGACTGTTGTCCCTCCCTTTGAATCTGGGATCAATAGAAGGCGATGAAGATGTGTCAGTTCCAGGTCTTAAGAGACCTCGCAGCTTCCACTTCTTCCCTCTCGTAAGCCAGCTGCCACATAAGAAGTCAGGCCACCATGCATGCGAGGAAGCCCAAGCTAGCCATGTGGACAGCCAAAGGCCACATGGGGGAGCACGGAGGAGCCAGATATGAAGAAAGCCTCCTCCTTGGACCCTCCAGCCCAACCCAGGGCTGCCACCAGCTGAGCGACCCCCGCTAATGCTACCCAGAGCAGAACTGCCTACCAGAGCTGTGCCCACGGCTTTTGTCTTGACCCACAAAATCATAAACGAATAACATTGTATTCATTGATGACGGTGGGAAAGGGAACTGTGTGCGGTTCAGCATGGCTAGCCTGAGCCTGGTCAGGACCCCACAGCTTTGTTAGCAGTAAAACCACAACCAGACCTGGGTCTGGACTCCCTGCCTACTGCTTTCCACTACCTTTGCTGCCGCTAAGGAAGAACATAGAATCTACCTCTGCGTGACGAAAATGATGTGTTCAGTTTTAGTATCTGATTTGGTAACTTTTGAACATGTGACATGAATGTTGCCAAATGAGATCCTTTAGAAGATGGATCCCGTTGCTCTGCCAAAATTCATCACTAGCAAGAAGACTGGTCCTCTCCTGATTCCACACTCTCCCAGCCTCAAATACTATCCTCCTTCACCCACTCTGGGTATTGCCCTCCCAGGACCCAAGAGTGCTCAGCTGCTCCCTTGCCAATGCAGCCTTCTCCAAATACTGCAGCCCATGACCAAAGAGCTCACTGCCGCACTTAAACCAGTGCCTCTCAGACTCCAGCATACCTATACCTCCCCTGGGGTCTTGTTAAAATACAGTTTCTGATTCAGGAGGTCTGGTAGGGTCGGATGTGCTGCATTTCTAAGCAGGGCCCAGGAGACGCCACTGCAGCTGGTGTACACGCCACACTAGCCCTCAGAAGTCATGCTATATTCCTTCTCATTCCCAAGGTTCACTGTGCACACGGTTCATCTGGTTTTCTCAACTCAACACCTTGAGGATGGTTAGCAAGCATTCAATCTCATTCCTGCCTCCCTACCTCCTGCCCTAAGTCTGTGTGTGCTAGGAGCAGGTGGCAGTATGCAGAGAGTCTCAAGGGAGGCACAAGACCCCAGAACAGGGTATTCCAGTCAGCCTCCTCCACCAGTTCTTTTTCCTTTACTTGGAGCTTAACTTGCCACAGCTAACACTGACAAGTGCCTGATCTATGATAAGCCCTGTGCTTAGAGCTGGAGGCAATACAGTTAGAGATGACTTATCCCCAGTCCCTAGGAAGTCTAGTGAGGGGTGCAGGCAAGTCAACAGCCATTGACATCTGAGAGGACCAGGGTCCAAGGGGGCACCTACCCTGGACGTGCAGTGCCAGGGAAGATGCTTCCAGAGGAAGTGAGCTCCTTAGCCAGGCAAGGATGAGGAGGAAGAGGGGCATACTGCACAGAATATTTCAGGAGTGGGCAGTGGGAAAGGGGGAGCTGTGTGTGGTACAGCATGGCTAGCCTGAGCCTGGAAGAGCAGTTAATGAAGAGAGCAATGGTAGCTAAGAGCAGGATCCCCTTAGGAGTCTACCTTGAGGGCCCCACTGGGGCTGGAATATAGTCAAAGGGTAAGAAGGAGCCACTGGAAGACAAAAGAGGACCCTCACAGGGGCTGAGTTCGATGACCCAGCTGGGCGGCTGTCCTGGATCCTCAACTGCCTCACTCCCCAGAACTGCAGCTGCCCACCTCTGCCCAAGGCTTTGCTATCACCCGAGCAGATCATGTTCTCCTCCTTGCCCAGCAGTCCCCATCCTGCTCACTGCCACCCTTGAAGGGATACGAAAAGACGAAATATGTTCCACTGAGTACTTTGAGCTGCTGAAGGCCAAGTGTGCACAAGGACATTTCAGTGGTAGTGAGGGGCAATGAAGCAGAACAGTTACCCTGGTAATCCCGATTAAAATTCATAAAAACCTGCAACTGTCTTTTGAAAGTCTTGGCTGGTCTGAAGGTAGTGAGTTATCTCAACTGATTGTTCACAGTCAGTTACAGATCGAACTCCTTGTTCTACTCTTTCCCCTCTTCTCACTACTGCACTTGACTAGTCTTAAAAAGGAAAAAAAAAAAAAAGAAAGTCTTGTAGGATGTGCCTAAGGACTCACCAACCACAGTTCAAAAATGAACTCTCATTTAATCTTTCTGATAAATTCCTATTTTTAAAATGCTCTGAATGTAATACAGTCGCCTTCTATTGCAGTCTAGAATGAAAATCTCAAATGATGGGCATCATTTTGTTTGAAAAGAATAAGATCTTGAAGGACACAGGGAAGGGAGATTGGTGACAATTTGAGGGAGTACAGGGCCACTAGATCATCTGACCAAGACATAGAAAGCGTTTTATTTATTTATTTCTGTTTGTTTGTTTTTTGAGGCAGTCTTGCTCTATCACCCAGGCTGGAGTGCAGTGGTGCCATCTCGGCTCACTGCAACCTCCGCTTCCCAAGTTCAAGTGATTCTCCTGCCTCAGCCTCCGGAGTAGCTGGAACTACAGGCATGCACCACCACACCTGGCTAATTTTTTGTATTTTAGTAGAGACAGGGTTTTACCATGTTGCCCAGTCTGGTCTCAAACTGCTGAGCTCAGTAAACCCACCCACCTCGACCTGCCAAAGTGCTGGGATTAGAGGCGTGAGCCACCACACCCAGCCTTTGTTTGTTTTTTTACAGATGGAATCTCACTATGTTGCCCAGGCTGATCTTCAACTCCCATCCTCAAGGGATCCTCCCACCTTGGCCTCCGAAAGGGCTGGGATTACAGGTGTAAACCACCATGACTTGACAGGAAGCTTTATAAAACAGGGGAGAAAATGGGAATGGAAAGAAGGGGTTGGAGACTGAGAGTACACCTAATTCTCGAGGGGACCTTTCCTCTGGTTTTCTTTGAGCAAAAATGGAAATTCTCCACATATCCCTTAGCAAAGGCAATTTTTCCATTTCGTCCCATTTCACAGCATGGGAAACTAAGTCACCAAGAAGTGGCTCATGTAGGGAATTCACCCTGTGATGCACCCTCCAATCCATTAAGTGCTGCTTACCACTCTTATGACCAATCAGGCCCTCAGATGTTAACAAATTACACTCAACGTCTTCAGGAGCCTTGTTGAAAGAAGACGTAAGGTTATTTAATGGCAAAAAATTATGGCTGTCAAAGCCAGCTTCTGCCAGACTATTTTACTTCTCAGAAAGGAAGGGATCTTTGTAAATTCCTAAACATGAAATTTATCCCCCAAAGTATATTTCATATGCCCTGTGCCTTGAAATTTGGTTTGTAGTAACTAAATATGTATCTATCAATAGGAATTTGTTAAAGAATGATGGTAGAAGCTAACAATTAATGCACTGGTCAAAGTTAAGAGGCAACAGGAAGTTCAAGAGTCAACTGCCAGCCACATGAGTGAGCCTTCAAGGATGTCCATCCCAGTCAAACCCCCAGAAGACTC